TTTAAAAGAGTATGATTTTATAGCAAGACATTCAAAGAAGCTGAAGTGGCTCATTTAAAGTATGATAAAGCTGAGAAGAATATGGATCTGTCGCGAGCAGACTTGGAAAGGGCTAAAAATAATGCAATGCAAAGGACCCAAATATGTGAAGACGCGAAACAAAATTATGCGCATGCATTGCAGGCTGCAAATCAACAACAGCATCAACACTACAATCAGCTTTTACCACAGATACTGGAGGTTTGCCAATCAGTTTTGATATCTTCAGTGCTTTTTTTATTTTGGTTATAATTGTTTCATAGATGAATTTGTTGGATAGATGTTTACTTTTCAGAAGTGAGGGGAGAAGTTGAAATTGTTTTGGCCTTTCACCATCGGCATTATTACTGTCTTCTTGATGAGCATGATATGATATACAGAAAGTTTCGATTAAGAAGCATTATTAAAAATTTGATTTTTGTGAAAATTTATGTTTGATATGATCGGTGTGGTAAATGATTGTGTGGAAATTGCAGCGTTTGAGAGCAGTCGATGAGGAGCGAATTAGCGAAACAAAATCACTGATGTTACAAGGTATTGAAGCGGAAACTAAGGTAATGAATATAATTCAACGATGTTATGATGATATGAGAAAAGCTGCTGAATGTATATCGCCTTTAAACGATAGTGCTAGTGTTGTTGAGCACTATAGGTTCGTTTTTGTTAAATTTTACGATGTCTTGGTTAAATAATTATGTGTTTAAAAAAAAGAGTTGAAGTTATAAAGAAATTCAAGGCTCTGGCAGGTATGTTGTGGTCCAGATAAAGAGACATGATTATGGTAAGGTAAAGATTAGAACCAGTGCGAACTACTACACAGTGTGGCTTGCTATATTTCTAGCAAAGGTGGAAATCAGTGACATCACATAAATATTGATCTTAATAGAAACGCTACTTTCATTAATTTTTAAAAGGTATGATGGTTTAGACTTAAGAATATTCCTCTTCAAATCATCTGTAAAGTTGTTTTCCAAATTTGATATACCACAACTTTCGTTTTTCTTTTTTTTTTCTATTTATCAATATCTAAATTATGTTTTCATTATTATTTGATATTATGTAATTGAGGCATATTGTTGTTTATTTATTCGGTCATTTAATTTAAGCTACTTCTAATTTTCTCTCTCCAAAAAAATACTTTTCGCTTCCATTGTGCTATTTGAAAGTGAGTTATTGTAAGAGATACTGTTTGTTTGCAGATCCGGCTATGCACATCCTGAACCGTTCACCTTCGAAGATTTCGGCGCTCCATCGGCAATTATCACCAGTGAAGGTACAAGTAGTGTGGATACAATGAAAAGACCAACAAAAAATGGTTCGATGGTTCGAATCAATCGAAAACCTAGTATGGGACTTTTTCGAGGCAGCAATCATTCAAGAAAGGTTACTCAAAGATCATTATCCTTAGGATGTGAATTAGCGGTTTTAGGAGTAATATATAGATAAGAATGGTCCAGATTAAATGGCTGACGTTGTCTGCATGTTTCACAAAGGGCATCGGACCGTTATCAGCGATATGATGGATATGTGTAGTCAAAAAAAATCAACGATATAAATCATCTATCCGTCACTTAGGTTCGACAAATTATATTGTGTTTGCTGATACGATCATCTGCGAAACATCTACGAAGGATTCCATTTCTTACATGGTCTCATTTCGCGCAATGTTTCTTTTAAACGTTGATTTGAATAATTTAGGATGGCACAATTGATTTTCGTTCCTATCCACCACAGCAAAGATGTCGAAGATTGCAGCATGAAATTGAAAACATTGAAAAAGAAATTGCAAAAAACCAACAAAGTCGTGAAGGTGCTGCGAAAATGTTGCAGGTTTATAAGTACGTCTTACTGGATCATTTCACTATAATTACTTCTTTGTTGAATTTAAATTGATTTATCGGAGTCTCATTAATGCAGACTGCAGCTAAAACTTGTGCTTAATATTAATTAGGGAAATGAACTTGCCTAATTATTTGCTTTTATTTATCTCGTTTCCTTGTGACTTATATATTTTTTAATTTTTCAACTTAAATAAGTGTGCGATTGATTTACAGGGACAATCCAAAATTAGGTAATGCAAGTGATGTAGACTCAGAAATTGTAGTTTATACAAAAAAATGTGAAGTTCTAAACCAGCGATTAGCAAAGTATAAAGTATGTTTTTTTCTTTTCTGGTTGCTTTTTTTAAAATCACTTTTCATTGATCGAATTTCGAAAAGTCGGCTTTCCATTATTGCATAGGACTGAGTTTCGCTTTTGATCCATGTTAATGCCCTATTTTTTATTCATGTTAATATATTGATAGATGAACAAAATTTTTGCATTATGTATTGGAGATTATAACAGCTGTAAAGAGTATGAGTATTCAATTGTTCGTTTCAGGCAATGTTATCAGAAGCGCAAACCGAACTGAATACACCGATATCAGTTGTCGGGTATGTTCACAATCGAGTCATGATGTTAGCTTCATAATTGCACAAAATCAAATTCTCAACAAGAAATTATTAACAATATCGGCTAACTGTCCAGTGAAAAAGTGATATGGTTTGAGATGTGCAGCATTATTTAATGGTTTTTTCCTGGTATGGTACAGGGCACTAGAAAGTTTTTTAGTTGACGGGCAGTTGTGAATAAAGCATATAGAGGATTTTGAAAAGAAATATGTCCTTTCTTAGCCCAAACTAGGATTCGAGAAATTTATTCATGTATATCAGTAATTTTTAAGATTCCCACTACTTGATTTAAGCATTTACAGATCGGAACCTCCAATGAGACCTCCTCCTCCATGTCAGTCAGGATTGAGTACGCCTTCACAGTCGTCTCCACGTCAGATGTCAACTCCGAATACTACAGTCAGCATTCATCGTTCATCTTATTCAGAAGAGTCGATCTCTTCAGATGGCTCAGTTCCTATCGCTAATCATAAGAAAACAACTTCACCTGAACCTGCGAAAAGTTTGCTTCATTTCATTTATTTTTCCAAATTGTTGAAAACAATCGATAATTTCATTTGATGAGGGCTATATAGTCCCCACTATTTTCAGATCTTGGTTATACAAAGTAGTCAGGATTTTTTTAAAAAATATCAAATAACTAATATTTTTTAACTGGAAGAAAATTTTTTTTTGATCTTGGTTGGAAGATGATTAGTTGATTGTTCTCTTAACAGTATTCATTAATTTCTTTCTTCATTACAAGCCCACAGTGTGTGAAAGAGGAAATGAAATTCAGACTTTTAAAATATCGTGATATCAACTGCATTGCTTATCGCGCTTTAAAATATCGTGATATCAACTGCATTGCTTATCGCACCTCATCATGGGTCAAAGAGTGGAGTGATGACATTGGGATAAGACAAATCTCGACATTATATTTGGTTCAAATTTCGGTTACTAATTGATAATTCAGAAGCGACAATAGTGGAGAAATCAGAAGTGTACGAAGAATGCGATATGCCGGCGTTAGGCACTTGCACTGCACTGTATGCATTTGAAGGCGGCAGTGAAGGTACAATGGCTATGGAAGAAGGTGATGAAATGATATTGCTGGAACGAGACGAAGGAGATGGTTGGACTCGAGTTAGGCATGTTTTATCAGCACGTGAGGGTTTCGTTCCAACATCTTACTTGCAATGTAGGTGGTATCCTGATTAGTGATCCTTATTAAAATGAGTACACTTTTACTTATTTTTTCCGTGGAATTGAAAGAGTCTGGATCGTTTTTTATTGTTTTGGAATAAATAAAATGAATTATGGATCTTTTTTAAATAGTGTAATAAAATGAGGGTCTTTTATTGATTGATGTCGTGTTAGATTGATGACTTCCTACGAGTGCCGCTTTTAATTGAATAATACAGATTCCTCTGTATTTATCTACTTAAGCATAATGTGTTGTGTATCAGGCTGTTCTGGTTTTTAGGTTAGCATTGCTGCTAACAAGTCATTGAATTACGTGATAGCTTACCAAATGGATATCATGTTTACAAAGTAAGATTCTTAGAGCTCCAAATAATTAACACTGCTTATTTAATTGAATTCAGATGTTATTTTGTGCATCTATCTTGTAAGTTGAAATGCTCAATATATTGAACTTCCGGATTTTATATATTTATTTGCAATTAGTATGTCTTTTAAGTGCATGCGTTATCACTAAACAAGTTTTATTTTATGTTACACTTTGGTTCAGAAATTTATTGCGAGATTACACTGTTTGGTTCGGTTCACATGTTTATCCCGATACTATATACTATTATCATGTGCAAGTGGAGTTCGGGTCATTCCACTTTTAATTATTGCATAAATTGATGGGAATATTGAGTTATTGCTTTCTCTGTAAGGTTTTTTATAGTTTTATTGCCGAGAATGTTTAAATGTTTTCGTTTTAGCTCAATCATTAATATTAATATTTCCGCTACACACTACTGCTGTTGATGGTCACTACTCCTGTGCTTATTTAAATCGTTATTTACTTTTTCCTGCCCAGTTTATCCGACCGACAATGATATTCATTGTTCATATTTGGAGATGTGCTTACTGGTATGTGTCAACAAAGACTTTTCTCTCTCATCCATTACACCCATATGACGTTTAATTATTGTAATCCAGTTTCAGAAAAGTCTGCTATAAGCATATTTTTTGTGGAATTGGAGGAAAAAATTTCCGAAAGGAACTCAATAGGTCAGCAAGAGATGAGGCGGTGCATAGGGGCTATCCTATCCTGTCATATTCCAAAATGGACCGTTATAATCAAAGTAAGGCAGACTGCGCAGCAAAATGACTTAACAAGTTAAAATTTAAAAGGGATCTCATCATCCCGTAAATGTACACTCCACTTTCACACTCAGCCATAAATTGAACAAGCCAAAACGAATGTTACATATTCTACAATGTTCACCTCGCGCTAATAATCTTCAATCCAGTTTATAATTTATAGTTTCCTAGACATTTTAAATATATGATTGCGACTTCCGTAGTTTCCATTTGATCCCTATAGCAACATCACCGCTCTGCATGTTAGTACACATTACAATTCTGTTTACTTTTTTCCGATAGCTAGAAGATCATGTCTTCCAATCCAGTTCCCTGACCTTTTTTAGTTTTGCTTCCATTTTAGTCAAATTTTGTTTTACCTCCTAATTTTTTTAACGGCAACTGCACTTATATTGCACTTATATGGAAATGAATATAATTGCATCTATATGGAAAAGAATACAAGCGTCAGAATATACTAATAGAAATAAGTTTAGTACTCAGCAAAAAGTGGAGTGGTAGTACATTAGCAAAACTGCAGCACTGCTGAGATATTCCAGCTACTTCCTTCGTACAACAATTGACTATTAAGAGATTTATTCTTGCAAATTTATAATGTGAAGAAATTACAGTAATCACAGAAAAGAGAAATGAATGGGATGAGAAAAATCTTTAAACTTCCAATTCTGCTGCAACTCGTTCAAAAGCTTTCTCGCGAGCTATGTAATCGAGAGTCCATTGATGATTTGAAAAGCCTTCCTTCAACTGATTGACATAGCGGTTTGTCATCTGAAATTTTTTACATGTTCTATGTCTTACCTACCATTAAAACATATTTCAATGGGATTACTTCTGATGCTTTTCCGAGGTACTGACTGACAACAACCAAGTTTATGATTGCTTCTGCATTGTTGGCATCCCTTTGCAGTGCTTCCTGAAAATTACATGTACGTCTTTATACGTATCCAAGTGTTCCCTTAGCAGAAGTCGACACAGACAACTTCCAATGCGGAAAAAAAAAACTTAAGGCATTTAAGACATTAATATATGTCAATCAAATACTATTCATTACAACTGCTCGTGGTAACGATATATAACTTTCCTGGAATCAAATTTAAACTTACCAGAAGTAATTTCTCCGCTTCCTGGTATTTTTGTTGTTGAATTAGGCTACATGACTGAGCGACTAACAAAAGCGGTGTGGCACCATATTTATCTATCATTTCTTGATAAGCATAAAAAACATCTTTCAGCTTATCTTTTCCCTGAAACCATATTTTGATAATTTGATTAGAAATAAAACTGAAATAGCGAACTATGAGTACTTTCTTACCAAAATTTGAAAACTCACACGTTTCATTCATGTACTGAAAATCCACAAGCTACAATATTTCATTCCATCTAAGTTTTCCGGAAAAACTTTTTTTTCCAGACTTTATTTCCTTCATTATAGCTTTGCAATCCTGCATGAAAAACTAATTTACATAAATAATAAAAATTCAGTGCGAACCACTAAAATTTTATAATTCAACAAGAACTAACAAGCGCGATGTTGACCCAGGCAAGCGCTAGCTGAGTTATAGTAGCATCTTCATCTATTTCTTGCATTTTTTTGATTTCTTTCACAGCCAGATCTACTCGATCAATCTTTAGTAGACACTGAACAGTCAACGCTTTACTTTCCAAAGAATCGCATTGATGTAGCAAACGTAATGCTTCCTCAACATTCTAAAAGCTATCTCGGCTAAAAATTCCAACGTGTCATGAATGTAAAAAAAAACTTTTTAATGCATAGGAATATACATTTCAATAATATATTGGCTTGACACAACTATATCGTATTTCAAAATTCCGGAATTACTAACCAGTGATTATTATCGCAACAAGAATAGCAAAAAAGGGAAAGAACTTATGGCATCTCTGGTAAAGATAGGAAAACATGAATACATACCTGCTCATGGATGTACATGTGAGCTGCCAATAATAAAACGGTATCGTCCTGAGGAATCTCTTTATTCAGCTCCGCTTCAAATTCTTTCACTATTGTTGTTCTGAAAAATATAAAAAAAACAGAAATAAATAAATTAAAGATCCCTTCCTGATTTTATAGGATATAAAATTAAGTTAAAGCATGATAAAGACATGCTTTAATTTAATTTTATAGATAAAGACGTCAGCAACCTATAATGAATATAAAAATCTAATAACGCAAATAGATGCTTGCAGATACGAAAACTATTATTCAACTTAGTGCCCTACTGATTAAGGAGTTCTCAGAAATCCAAACAATTTCATTTTTATTACAACAAAACTGTATCCACCGTCCATGAAATCAAAAATTAATCTTTGACAAAAACGAAATAGATTCTGACTTATGAACGACATAACCTACAAATTATAAACTTTTAGGAGAAAATACGAACGAGAAAGAATTAGCATTCATTACTCATCCAAATATTTTGCATTTCGCCTCAGTACTTCATGGGAAAATTGTCCTCACTTATTTACCTTTTATTTGGATTGGCTAAATAATCTGCGAAACATCGAACTGCTCTTAGAGCGGGTGAAGATGAAGACTTGTCAATTTCACTTAACACTAAATTTGGCTTATTTTGCGCGAGATATGCTCTGTACATATAGACATCCTTCAGTAGCTTATCATTTTCCTCTTTTATTCGCAGATTCTGCAAATACGATTAATTCTCATTAAAAAATTCCCATAATAAATGTGCTAAAAATTAATTCAACAATTGTGATATATGTATAAAAAGGCATATGTACTGTCATATTTTTCCGCTGAAAAATTTTCTTTGATTACTTAATCGCACTGATAACTGCAAAAGTTATATAGTTTTGAAGAATATTCCAAAGATTTAAATGTTAGCCAAAGTTGTATCAACCAGAACTACATATTAATCATAAATGATTATACTTCGTGTGCCGCTGTTACAAAAACATTACTAACAAGCGTAAGCTGCAAAAAAATATTCACAGATAAATCAAATGACGAAAAAGCTTACTTGAGCCTCATTAATACAACTTTGATATGCTCCAAGGAAGAAATTATTGCGTACTTCGAACAAGTGATCCACGTCATCCACTTTTGTCATCTTTAAACTGCAAACAATGCCTAACTTACACTTTAGAAAATGCTTGATTATTTTTTTTCTAATATGTTTAACCATAACGCACGCATTTAAAACCAACATACGTGTCAAGAAACAATGCACCCCAGAAACGTCACATAGCCACGCATGAAATTCAGCATTGGACTGAACACTCAAAAATGGAAGTAGCAAATTGCTACGTGGTTTACTACTATGCAAATCTGAGGACCAATCATTGAAGATTTCCGTGTGAAATATTCAAATCCAAATTTGCTATTCTGTTTGAAGTTTAAAATGCTTAAATTTTAATGAAATATAATATGCCGGGTCAGCCAATAAATTCTTAGTCTCTGAAGTTTTTTAAATTAAAAATTTTAAATTTTTTAAGAATTCAAATTATAACCGTATTCTCATTTCAAAATTTACATTTGATTTCTTAATTTTACTCTTATAACACATAAGATTTTTAATGGTTATAATTTTGTTTCATATGATTTGCATTTTTTTGACTTTTATAATTTGCATAGAAATAAAAAAAAGAGTAGAAATAGTGATTGGCAATACCTTACATTTCATTTGTATTCATTAACTTACGGTAAGATACATTCATTCATAGCATTTCATTTTAATTTATCGAATTATTGGGTTACTTTTTC